CGGAAAATCCCCGACAAAGCAATCCAGACAAAGATCAAAACTCTCATACGAGTACCCCTCCGAGGGCACTTCACAGTAGGTGCAAAAGTACCGGAATTGGCGGATCCGCTTGAAGCATTTGTTGCAGGATATTTTCCAGTGTGGGGCAGTGGGGTCGTCGCTATCCGGGTCTTTTTGTTGTTGGGAGGAGGATGGTTTTTTGCTGCGTGGTTTAGTAGGGGGAACGTTGATGGTGGGATCGTTGGCGGATGTGAGCAGACGGAGTTTGGAAGAGTTCATGTCGACCCATTCGTCCCATACACTATCCCACCCTTAAAAAAACCTGCGGTTCAGTACTAAAATACCTTGCTAAAAGTGAAGTTACGATACTCACCATCATAATGGATCAAAACCTGCCACGACCGACGCTTGACGACCGTCCCCACGTACACGTCCGCATTTTCCGCGCCGCCGGGGCCTTCGACCATGACCACTCGCGCGCCGACTCCCAACACCTTCTTCATTTCCGTCATAGAGACTTCTGTCGCTAGAGTTTTCCGATCTAGATACGCGGCACGTGCGGTATTATTTGCTGCACGGCGGGTGGCGCTCGATGACTGTGAGTGTATCGCACTGGGTAATTGAAGGGTCAACGGAGGTGGTAAAGTGGATATATCGATTGGTGGCAGAGGTGGTGGAGATTCGACGATTGGCTCTTTGGCTTTGGGAGCTTTGGGCGTTGTTTTCTTGACGCGTTTCTTGGGGGTGGGTTTCGGTTTGGGCTCTACTGTCGCTGATGGTGTGGAGTCTTGCTCTTTTGGCGTTGGGCGTTTTCGCGTGCGGACTGAGCGGCCTACCAATAGGACTCCAGCTGGACCTGACGGCACACTAGTCGATGTCGGTTGGATATGACTGGATGCTTGCGGGGGTATTGTAGACAATTGCGTAGTACCATCTGATGGCACCATGGCCAATCTCGACTCGTCATCGCCTTTATTAGCTTCCACGTCGGCAGCCCTAGTTGCCTTGGGGGGCACGGCCCCCGCAAAACTCTCCACCCTTAACCGTTGACTCTCAACATCCAACCACTCATCAAATTCCGAACCCCAGCCCTCATACTCCACCCGGACTTTCCCCCGCCTCATTTCCTTAATGGTAGCAGGCCACCACGTCCGTCCCGCATCGCGCACTTGCACGCGGGAGTCAATGTGGTAGAGCGGGATATGCGATGGGAGGGCTAGCCGGCGGGAGGGAGTTGATTTTTGCGGTGAGGGGATAGGAGAGGATGGGCGGCTTGACGGTGGGGTGGCGAGGATAGATGTGGCGGTCGTGAGTGGTGTCTTGAAAAGAGTTTCGCTCCGTCGGACCAACCGTTTTCGGCCCACTACGGGCACTTCATCTTCAGTCTCTTCTCCTACATCCTCAGGTTGTGGTGCATCATCCACATCAGGCAATTTAAACAAATTCGATTCAGTCTCGTCTAACGACACACTCGTGTGACATTCCGCATTGATCTTTTGACCATCCTCATCATCACTTAAAATTACTCTCCTTGGGGGTCGTCCACGTCCTCGCTTACTGCCGCTTTTAAGCATCCCATTGTCAATAGCACCCTCTCTCCTGTCTCCAGGTGGTCCTGCCCGCTTCTTCGTCTCATCCCGTCCACCAACCCTCCCAAAATACTCTACAAAAACAGGCATTTCATCCTCGGTTTCTTCTCCCAGATTCGGTTTTGGTGCATCATCGACATCAGGCACCTTCGATCCAGTCTCTTGTATTGGTACACTCATATTACATTTGGTGTTATCTTCAACAGCGCTCAGAATAACTATCTTTTTTCGGGGTCTGCCGGGTCCTCGTTTTGCACTTCCAATCTTGTCTCCATTATCAGCAGCAGCTTCTATCCGGTCTTGATCTCTGAATGGTCTTCCGCGCTTCTTCCGTTCTTCTTGATGTCCCAGCTCCGAGATCGTCGCATCGATTCTCTTACCGTCTTGCTGGCCGATCCCCTCCTCACCGACCCGTACGTGCACCCGCCCAAAACACTCTTCAAACGCCTCGCAACATATCCTACACCAGTACTCTCCAACCATCGCATCATCCCTCGTATCAAACATCGACAAACTCATACTATTCATGGTCCGTCGTCCCTTCACGGCCTCGACCCGTCCGCATTTGCATACTTGTCCCATAACTACGTAATCTAGTCTATGTTGAGTCTAACTATAAGGTATAATGGCGGCAATTGCATCTAGAGTGCCGGTTCTTAGGGGCACGCGTCGAATCCAGATCGTATGATTGTAGCCTAATGCGGTATGGTCCCGTACTCGAGTAAGTTCCGGACGTCGATAGCCCAGATCCTCTTCTATCGGATTCCAGTGGCCCTCCAGTAAAGTCCGTCCATATTCGAGGAATCCAGTTCTGCACAGGAATCAAGGTCAAATCCAAAGTGACACCAATTTCAAACCCTAGCGAACCAAAAGCCTCACATCGGTCACATCTCGCATGACAAGACAAGATTTTCCAAGAATCTCCAAAGATCACCACAAATCTACTCCCATGTCCCATCACACCGCATACACTCTAGCCGGAATCTGTATGTCCTACCCTTCCGTCAACCAATCCCACACAAAGACACTGACATTTTCAATAGGCACTCTGGGCGGATACGTCGGATACACCAAAACCCGGTCCCGACCTTCCTTGATTGCCGGTGTCGCATTCGGAGCACTCTACGCCGTAGCAGGGTAACTCCTTTTCTGCCTACATTAACAACAAAGAACTGAACTTTGGTACTAGGTACTTGCTCCAAAACAACTTGGAATACGGTGCGGAATTGGCCACGGGCACGTCAGTGTTGCTGGTAGGAGCCATGGGCCCTCGCGCACTCAAGACCCGGAAACCGGTGCCGGCTGGATTGGCCACTCTGGGTCTGTTGGGTGGAGCGTATTATGGACGGAAAGTGTATGAGGGTGTTGCAGGAGTTTGAAGGGCAAAAGGTTGTTTGATTTGTTTATATCCAACTGCAACATGAAGTATCTCTATCTACAAAGGTCCTGCTACATATGAGGTGTCGACTTAGATCCCGTCAGCCAAGCTTCCGCGTCCGTTCAATTCTCGAATCGGTCGAGCGTTGAATCCCACCAACCCGCCAATCCGCTTCACATCTCCGGTAGCCACGCCGAGGGGTGTAGGCACCACATGCCACGACACGTTTTCGGTGCACGGCGGGGTCGTCAACGATCCGGCGTAAGTAAACATGTCTGGTGCTTGAGCAGGCGGACGAGGAATGAGGAGTGGGAGCAAAGCGTCAAATGAGAGGAATGGAACCATTGTTGTGGTATGAGATTCGGTGGGGAGGAAGGAAGTCAGTTGGTGCAGGAACGCAGAGCCTTGGCCTGACCCTGCTGTAGCGGTACTACCGGCCATCCCGTCATAGTCAAACATGAACGACAAGACGGCTCGTTGTCCCTGGCTATTGACATGCACCATATGCATTTCCATCGGCATGACTAAACAGAACGCGTGTGAGCTCCAAATTTACATGGTCCAAACTATCCACAAGAAACTCACATTCACGGCCAATCCAGTGCTCGCTTGGCGTATGAAAATGAAACTGTTGAAGCGCGTACCAGTCTCCATCCGCTTTATTCCTGAACCCTGTAGCGTTCTTGTACTCCTCGGGGATATCTACCCGGAGATTCATGGGATCCAGTGTCATGTTGAGTGGGGTGCGGATGAGCGGGTATGTGGGGAGGAAGGGGGTGGGGCGGAGATGGGCTGGTTGCAATGCGATGGGCGACTATCGAATACATCATCTTAGTATACTTTTATTTTCGTCTAAATGTTCGAGTACACATACCTGAGCTTTACCGGTTTGACATATTTCCGGCGTCCAATGGCCGGGTCCGCGCGTCTCATCGGCCGTATACACAAATCCTCCGTCTCCATGAGCTGGGACATCCGCTTTCACGGCAAGTGGCGAAACCTGCACATTCCCAGCAGCGTGCGAGTCGACAAAGACGCGAATGGGGGTCGCCAGAACTGACGAGATGAGGCCCAGGAACAAAAAGGTAGATCGGACCATACTTGCTTCCTCGAAAGTTTTTACCAAGGGAGATAGAAGGGATGTTTCTTCCCTGCTCTGGCTTTTTTTATACTACACCCCGCCTCAAGTTTGTTATTTATCCGCCGGCGGCCCGTGATACCTCCCCCTCCGGCGCTCCGAGGCTGTCCCAGAGGGCTCCTCTTTGTAGTTTTTGGAACTTTTGGCTTTACCTTTTTTTTTGTGGCCGCTCCGGGCCATTTTGGGCGGGATTTTGTGGGACGGGATCTGCTCGTATTAGCAAGGGGATCTTTAGCGCTTTGTTTTTGTTCCATGGTCATGTTCCTCAATCCTTAAACCGTTTACCATTTCGCGTAAATCCGTTTAAGACAACCTCTCCCTGCAAAAGAAACAATAGGTGACACCCCCGTTTGGGAATCTTGAGGTTTGAGTACTGAACCCTATAAAAGTGGCGACAAAGGCTGCTGTAAGAGATGTAGCGGAGACGAGACGACCAGGCGCGCACCGAAATGACAAAGCGGACCATCCACAAGCGAGCGGTGTCTACTCGAGTACCCCTCAAGTAGCAACATTCGAGAGTGGAATTCATGAATACAAAAAGCGGGACCATCCAAAAGCGAGCTTTAAATTATACTCGAGTATAGCAAGATTCCAAGGTGGAATTCATGAAACCAAAAGCGGACCATCCAAAAGCGAGCGGTGTAAAGCTTTAAGTAGTAACATTCCAGAGTGGAATTCATGAATACAAGAAAGCGGACCATCCCAAAGCGAGTGGTGTAAAGCTTTATATAGCAAAATTCCAGTGTGGAATTCATGAAACCAAAAAGCGTTGTCAAGCTTTATATACCAACAGTCCAGAGTGGAATTCATGAAACAAAAAACCTGACCATCCAAAAGCGAGTGGTGTAAAGCTTTATATAGCAAAATTCCAGTGTGGAATTCATGAATACAAAAAGCGGGGTTGGCTCAGCTGGTAGAGCGTGAGTCTCATAATCTCAAGGTCGCGAGTTCGAGCCTCGCATCCCGCATTCTTCTTTTTGATTTTTTTTTCTCCTGCGTCGTGTTCACAGCAACGTTCGATGTCGGACAGGACGTCGGATATTTTTATTCCCGCGAGCTTCAATCTGGTAAATTTTGGTATTGCCAGACAAGTTGATATGATAGCAAGAAAGATGATATCATTAAAAAAAATACACTCAGAACCACCGTTAAATTGAACCATAAGCTAATGAGCTATTTAATTTGATCATAAGTGCACCACTACATTACAAGGGGAATACCAAACGGCTTTCCTTCCCTCTGATGCTTTCCCAAAGCTAGCGAAAACACTGGTTCTGAAACAAAAAGTTACAGAGACTGGCGGCGTCCTGAACGTGGTTGGGTGGATGAGGACATTGGGGAGGAGGAGGGGAATTTGGGTGCGGTGCTGGTCTCTGACGTTGTGAATGAGTCAGCAGACGACGGAGCGGCGGAGGTAAGGGAATGGTGGATGGGATATTCCTTGCCGCCACGTCTCCGTGAACGAGCCAGGGATAAATATTGATGAATGACAACGTTCTTCTCCCAAATGTCTCATTTCATCGCACTTGGTTCTTCTCATAAGCTTCTAACCGGCTGAGAAAACCCTTGACCGAGCACGCCTGCCGAACGTGGTCAAACTGGGACTTGTCCGACGGAGCGAGGGTGTGCCCCTCAATTAGTTCCGTGCCAAGAAGGGATCGGAGATGGCATTTGACCGCCTTTTCATGACGATACAGGGCGTCTTGTCGGGTGAAGCCTACCCCGCAGTGGCCACACGAGAATGGCTTCTGGCCATTCAGGTGTGGAGCTTAATGACGGTTGAGGTCTTGCTTCCGAAGACATTTCGCACCGCATGTAACGATGGACCATTTGAATCGGTCAAAGCTTTTATGGAGATTCGCTTCCAACATACTTGCGCTTCCCTCAAGCGACGGTGTCTCTGTCCAAAGGGAGGAATATTGGAAAAAAGATTAGTGGTGGGAATACATATTTGTTGATGATTGCATGCTTTGTAGTGGTGAAGAGAGGAGACACTCTGCGTCTTCTCTTTATAGCTCTGAAAGGTTGCTTGTTCGGGAAACACAAAGTTTTTTTTCTGTTTAGCCGACTGCTGTTTGAACGGCGGACGGCCAGGTGGAGCAGCCGGTGCGCTTGGTCTGCTAGAACTTGTCGCATGCTGTTCCGGTTCATCCTCTTGACTGACTGGCGTCCACGTTCTGTTTCGATTGGAATTTGCCAACTACCGTCCTATGGCAGATCCAATTGAGCGCTTGCTGCCTCCTGTCGACAGTACTTCGGGATAAACCCTCAGCATAATCTAACTTTCCTCCTCCTCCGTTGGAGAACCTTCGTCATCCTCCAATAAGGAACCTTCGTCATCCTCCAGAGCAAAATTCTCGTCGTAATCCACAGGGATGTCATTTGCAGCAGAGACATTCGATAGCCAGGTTATCGTAATGGTGTGGCTTCCATTTTGGGACTCCATACAATATCTTGTAAAACTTCTTTATGAACGTCGTCAGTGATCCAACCATTCTTGATGGCCTGATTCCGCCATAACATAGCGTGGGCGGCAAACACTCGCTTCCAGACCACATGTCGACTCGGGATAGTAAGCGCTTTACCATCCAGGTCTTTGAATGTTTTGTTAACAGGCGGAAACGGAGACTGAAACTTTGCTTGAAGAAGTTGACTCGCTACAAGAGAAAGACAGTGCCAATTGAGCGCTTGCTGCCTGTGCCTGGTGTTGTTGGCGTAGACTCCACAGACGAAATTGGTACAGAAGAGACAATCGGAATCCCAAGGATCTTCGCTCTCTCTGTTTGCCATAATCGCTCCAGATCCTGTGCTTGACTATGGAGAGGGAATTAAAAGAATGAGTGTTGCGACTTACCCAGAGAGTTTGAGCCCGTCAGCGAATTGCAGTTGGCCGGTGGCAGCCTTCGTGCCTTCAACCACCTCCTCGCCGCCTCTGTACTCTGTTTGGGAAAAAAGTGATAGGACACTTTTTAATAATGGATGTACAAAACCATTTAAAGTTGGCCACTCATTCATTGCGGGTGTAATTGGGCCGCGCAAAAAATGGTCATAGCTGGTTTCAGGGGCATAAGCAAAACAGTAGAAACCAAGAGTAAATGAGTGCACTTACAATGGGAGGCAACCATCTCGAATGAAAAAAGCTATTTTGGACAGCATTTCGTCTTTTACAAACAAGGGGTTGGTGATAATTGAGTTGAGTATGTTAATACAGTTCAGGGAAATCTTGTCGGGCAGCTGCACGTCAATGACATCCGCATCTGCTTCGATATCGATCGTCGGAAAAGATGGTGTTCCAAGCAACTTGGGTGTAGAAAAGGGCGCGGACAGGTACTGTAGACATAATTTGACGAGATCCGCGACATTGGGCTGCTTCATGAGTGCCGATACGGTAGCATCGCTGAACGGCGCAAGTCCATAAAACGCTTCGGCTCAATTTTGGAATCTGCCGCAGCGAGCTAGTTTGGCCCAATGCGTCGGTCAACTCGCTCGACTTTTGATCACGTTGCCATTCGTCCAGAAACAAATGTGTGCACTGCTCTTGAATTGGTCGATTGTAGAACACTACCAGGGGCGACAACAGAGCTTCGAAGTGAAAACAAACTTGTTGAGTTCTTCAAGGAGAATCATCGCCAACAAGCGCCAGTCCTTCCAAGGCTTCCGCTCCACCTTTAATGTCGTGGGTCTTGCCAGCCGTCATTTGAAATGCACCAACGCCAGGCATCCACGCATCAATTGCGACATAGATTCTGGTAGTTGGCAGGTACAGCTGATTACGAGTTTGATTCGCTTGCACTCGCTCGACAACTTGTTTGCCGGATGGAGGAATCTGAATCGTCGTATCGGAGAGTTCTTTTGGCTGCAGCCAGGTGATTCATGGTAGGACAGCTGTTATACTTTGACAGTGTTGTGACTGCGGTTGCCAGGTCGGGTCGAGTACCGGTGATCAGGTACATAAGTGATCCAACAATCGCTTGATAGGTCACCGTGTCTTTCTTGTCTAAGTTTGGTGTGCCATCGATTCTTTGCAATTATTCGGCTGGGTCCAGAGGTAGTAGTGACGAGTTGCAATTTTCCAATCCGAAACGTTGCAAGATATCGGTTCATACTTCTTTTGATGGATCTTGGTAGGCTTGATTCTCTTGTTTCCGTGCACCAGCTCGCGGCACATGAACGTGCCTCCTTTCTCCAACTCCTCAATAGAGCGTATCGCTCGAAAATGAACCCACAAAGGGCAGCAGCAAGCGGATTTCCCGCAGCCGCCTGCAGCAGTTGTTCCATCTGGTACTTTGCTCTTGCGCCTTTCTGTTTAACTATGATTGGGAGGACTGTTGGAGACGCGAAAGCCACAGATGGGGTTTTGAACGGCTCAGCCGACGTAATGTGGATCAAAGCATGGACGACTTTAGTCTTTTCTGTGATCTTGAGTTCAGGCCAATGAGCATCTACCGACTTCCGGAAAGGCGGTCCTTCCGCAACGCATTCCAAGCCCAATGCCACTCGTATCGGGATCTGCCAGTGGAATGAACAGCTCGAGGTTGCATGCTTGCTCCTTTTCCCACGAGGCGATGACGAAAGATATTCGGTTGCTCGGCGGATCTTCTCTTGCGACGCGACGTCAATACCCTCTCCGCGCTCTCAGCCTTGCGATGGAGTGACTTTGTTTTGCATAGAGTCAAACAAGTTTCCTTGGCCGCTGCCATTCCCGCGAGCGGCTGCGCTAGCAATCGCTGTCAATCCTTGAACGCTATTTCAGTGACTGGACGTTCAAGATGAATCATTACGTCCGGATACTGAATCTTCCAGAGAAAATCCACTTGCTGGAGCCGCTCAATACTGTTCGGCTTGCCTTCCGCAAAGAATCCTTTCAGTATGCGATCCTTGGCATTCTTTGTGGCCTCATGCTTATTGTTAGAGGGTCGAGCAATGATTGTCGTGCTGGACCCCGAGCCCGTCTTGCAGCAAGATCGTTGAGGTAGGTGTTCTTTGCCTGGTCAAGAGCAGTAGACAGAGCAAGAGGAAGTGTTTGGCGGGAGTGAGCTGGTTTTGGAAATGGGAAGGAGCTGTCGCCAATGGATGGTTTTGGGATGGATGATGATGAAGGACCGCTGGCTTCTTGAGAAACAACTTTGTGGGACAAGTGAGCGTTATATTGTTTCCGAGTATGTAGATCCGGGTGTAAACCACAGACAGGACAACAGTATAGTCGTAGGTTCTTCGACCATTTGCTGCTGGCAAGCGAAATTGTTGAGAAGGGGTCGTTGTGCCTGGTCTCAGGAATTTCAAATTTGTCACGATGTGACGCGAATATCTAACGTATGTGGGTCCTGGCGTGAACCACACCTTCCATTCATTTTAGTATGTATGATGGCGTCATTCCTCCAAATACTCACTTATCCAATCCTGGATGATAATGGGGCACCACAATGGTAGCAAATCCCGAGGGCGGTTGGGTTGTAGTAGTATCATTGAGCCATTCTCGTGGGGCGTAATGTTGCAACCGTGGTACACCAACGAACGTGAGAAAGCCCGCATGCACCGAAAGTCCCAACGGATGGTAAAAATTGGCTGCGGCAAAGGAGCTGACCTTTTTCGAAAAGGTTACGCGCAATAAGGGCCTTGTAGCTTGAAGATAGGCAGAGAGCTGTGCCATTGCTGCGTCTTCAGGCTCTAACGAGAGCCAGGGGAACATATCCACGAAAGAAAATGGTCTTGTAGAAAGTTGATGTCGCCAATGGATGGTTTGGCATGGATGATGAAGTCTCGCAACAGAGCAGGCGCGTCGTTTGCATTGATGGGTAGCTGGCGGTTTGCGTGACCCGCCGCATGCTGCTGCAGAATCATTCGCCGTCCATTTGGCATGGCCGACGGTCCTGCTTTGGGTGTCGTCGTTTGGTTGTTCTCGTCCCCAAGCAAGCGACCAAGGACCGAGCTCCGGCGTCGTTGCAATGCGGGAGCGTTCGCTCTCCAA